CGTAAAATTGTTTGGTTTGGTTGTAGATGTATCCAAGCGCTATCTTACTGTCTGTGTAAAATGTGAAGGAATCGATTTTAATGTCCATTTCACTCTTTATGACTTCGGCTATTTCCACGGCTAGCATGGCTGCACAAAGTTCAAGTCTGGGTATGGTATGTGCAGGTTTTGGTGTTAGTTTTGCCTTGCCTAGAACAAAATTGCAATGTATGTCTCCATTGATCCCTGAGGTCTTCAAATAGGCCACTGCAGCTATAGCTTCAACTGATGCGTCTGAGAAAATATGGATTTCCCTCTGTTTAGCGGCTGAAATGGAGACTGGGGCATAGCAACATGGAATTTGGAGCTGTTCTAGTGGCTTCAGAGAATCTCTCCATTTCTCCCATCTTTGTTGTTTCTCCATGGGTAACGGAGTGTCCCAATCTATGTTATCAGTAGTAAGCTGTCTTAGAAGCATCTTACCTTGGGTGGTGACTGGGGCTATAAATCCCAGTGGGTCATAGATGCTATTCACCATGGACAAGACTCCTCTCTTGGTAAAAGGTTTGTCACAGGTTGACACTTGAAAGATGAATGTGTCTTCTTTGGTGTTCCACAGCAGACCTAGACTTCTCTGCAAAGGAGGCGTGTCTGACCCAAGGTCAAGGTCTTTCACGCTGGCAGCATAGTCCTCAGAGTGAAATGCATTCATTAGCTCTTGGATGTTGGATATAATCTTGTGGAGTCTCAGGTTTGCTACGGATAGCATCTCCTTTGTTCGGGTGAGAAGATCAATTGCTTCCTTAGCAGTAGGAAAGGATTCGAGCCCGTCATCTACGTAAAAGTTTCTTTCGACAAATTGACGAGCGTCGGATCCATACTCAGCTTCTCCAAGCTGGGCTGTCCTATTTAGTCCATAGATTGCTACAGCTGGGGAGGGGCTGTTCCCAAAGACACCCTCATTCGGTAATCAATTACCTCTCTGTTGAGGTCATTGTCCTTGTGCCATAGGAACCTGAGGTAGCTTCTGTTGTCTTCCTTTACGATGAAGCAGTGGAACATTTGTTGAATGTCCACCATCACTGCTACAGGTTCTTGTCTAAAACGAATTAGGACTCCATTCAGGCTGTTGTTCAAGTTGGGCCATGTGAGGAGCATGTTGTTAAGTGAGATGCCTTCGTGTTGGGCACTGGAGTCAAAGACAACTCTGATTTGGTCTGGCTTTTCGTGGGTGTAGGGAGGTACCGAAGGAAGGGAGGTACCAGCATTCTTCTCCTTCTTTCAATGGAGGTGCGGGTTCAGCATGACCTCTATCAAAGATATTCTGGATAAAGTCTACAAAATGTCTTTCCATCTCTGGTTTCCTGCTTAAAGTACGCTTTAAGGAGGAGAATCTTTTAATGGCTTGATGTAGATTGTTCGGTAGCTTCTCTCTCGGGAGGCGAAAGGGTAGGGGTGCTACCCAACTGTTGGAACCTTCCTGAAATAACTTGTTGTCCATTACTTTAAGGAATTCTTTGTCTTCTACTGAAGGAGCTAACATGTTGTCTTCACTGCTTGTATTGAAAACTGTAGAGCCAAACCTGTCATCGTATGTGCGGGAAAGGTTTGTGTTGTCATGTTGCAACTTGCAGCTAGTTACCTTCTCCTTTACCCAGTAGTGATGTGGGCATGGCTCAAAGTGAGTATTACGACCATTCGGCAATACATTTGTCTTGAATGAAGAAATCTTAGTAGGCCTTTTCATTTTGCCTATACAGACATTACCTATGATGACCCAGCCTAAGTCCAGGTACTGGGCAAATGGAGCATCTGGGGGTCCGCTGACCTGCCTGTGCACCTTGTGGATCCTTAGAATATCTCTTCCCAGCAGAAGTAGGATTTTAGCATCTTTGTCAAGTGGTGGGATTTCACTTGCTGTTGACTTTAGGTGAGGGTGGAAGAAGGCAACTTCTGGTGTAGGTATTTCTTCTTTGTTGGCTGGTATCTGGTTTCACTCTACAAGTGTAGGTAAGGGTAAT